AGGCCACCCTAGACCTTGTATTGACTGACCCCAAAACGTTCGGCTGTCGATGCATTTTTGTTCACCACATGCTCGCAAATGTCCTTCCCCCAGGCCTCCAGGATGAGTGGGAAGTCCTCCTCCTTCGGCATCGTCTCCAGTTCGCCATCCCCGTGACGTTTCCACTCAATCCGCTCACCACGGCTCGTCTTGACCACATAGCAAGCCGGATCCTTTCCGTACATCGCGGCGTCCAGGAAGCTTTGCCAGGCGAAGCCGTAGGAGATCTCGACCTCGCTTGATCTCTTTCGGCAAGCCAACCGGGGAGGGCGTAGTGATGGTCCAAGCGTGTCTAGTTACTACAAACCGAACCTGTATAGAAACCCCCTCTTGAGAGGCTGTACAAAGTTGTGGGCAAGTGTTATTGCAACGGGTCAAGTTGAGTAATCGTTGGTTACTAGGCCTCTAGTCCATTTGCACGATGGCCTTGCTGGAAGCAGTTCTTGAAACCTGCTGCTGCTCCAGAAGAGCTGCCTCTCTAACTTCTAAGCTATGACATACCAACAGTTGCAGTCAAAGGAAGAAAAGGATTGCAATGACGGTTGATGATACTGCAAATAGCCTTCTGGATGCCCTTCCAAACCTACTTCCTTTTAATTACCTGCCTCTGAAGACAATGTGGCAAATGAAGAAATAAGCGGTCATATGCCTGAAAGAAGCAAAACTAAACACCCAACAAAACATAAGACCTCAGACAAAAAACAAGTAACAAAAAGCAACAAACCAGCAAAACACGAACCCTGATGGAGCATGTGAGGACCTTTGTTGGCATCCACAACAGTGACTGAACTTAACGCCTTAGTGTGAGGACACTTACCTCCCTTGCAGCCAGGATCGCTGGCAGAATCCCTAGACAAGGGGGGCACTTTGTTGAACCTTCGCCTAGCGGAGTCGCATCATACCTGCACTACCTCACCGCCCTCGCCTATCCGCGCCTTCTTCTCGTCGACTCTCATGAATTTCAGCTGCTGAGCAACAAACTGGCACGAAGCCCCGCTGGGGCCGGGCATGTTTCTCGCGCGCACTGCTGTGGCTAGCTGAACAGGCTTTCTCTATCTTAGCTGCCACAAGAAGGACGTCCTCCAAGACATGTTCCTGCTGCCGTACGAATCCCAGCGTGCTCGTGTTCGGCTGCTGGCGCTCTGTGTTTTCGCCAACCGCTTTGAAAAACCACTACAACCGCCAACCCTCAACCCCCCGAACATGTTGGGCAATGAGGACTGGATCTGTTTGTGGAACTGCCCAACCTCCGGAACTGTCACTAGGTGAAGGACGACATCAGAAAAAACAAAAAGAAACAACAACTTTGTGACAGGCGCGGTCGTTTAATGCTGGTGGGATTTGATTGCAACATACTGCAACGGACTTCGCACACTTCCTGGCTCACCATTGTGGCGCAGATTGCGCCCTGATCTTCTCAAGCCGTGAAAAAGACACATGATTCCAAGCAGTCCATGTCCTTCCCTGGACGGCCAACATAGCCAAAAAACATGCGTGCACTCAGGGTATGGTGGTGAAAACATGGTCCAAAGCTTCGTTGAGTGCGCAGGAAGCTCCCAGTGCCCCAACCTCCCCCACGTGCTCCCCTGCACCTGCATCACAGGATGATCATCCCGATAGGAGTCATTGCCCACGGACCAGTCATTGCCATCCACGTAGCAATCCTGGAGCTCCCGTCGTCGATCCCGGGTCGTGGACGTCGTGGGCGAGGGAAACGTTTTGGGGGAAGTGCTCCTGGAAGCGAAGATCTGGGTATTTCTTGAGCAGGTGATTCACCTGAGCTGAGCTGTTTGGTGTTCCGTGAATCGGCTGCGAAATCGCTGAGCGAAACGAGATATCTTGAAGATCCGAACATCTGCAGGTCCTTATTATTGAGGCTTTAAGGCCTTGAGACAAGCCCTTGAAGAACATCTGAGCGCTCTGCCATCTGAGGGTATGGATTTCGGACGGTTCGTGTCTGGCACGCGGGAAAATCGCAGCTGCACTTGGCTCCCAGTTTTCTTCAGGATCTCCAAGGACAAGAAGCAACGCGATTTGCCAACAACACTGAACTCATCTGAGGGATGCTCAAACTCTGCAGCTTGCCAAAAATAACATGAGCTTGGACTTTTGAGTAAGCGATTGCTTTGGTCTCTAAACCGATAACAAATACATATCATATCAGAATCATATCTACATTTTCACATTGTATCAGAAATGCTGCTTGTCCGTCATGTACCTTGAACTGTCCATTCGTCTTCTCTCGGTCGCCTGCAGTTGCAAGTTGTGGTTCTCCAATGGTGGTACTCGTTCACACCTTACAGTTCCCAGGCTGTGCAGTTGGATTTCGAGTGGACTCCTGAATGCATGGAACTTGGCAACTTTGAGGGAATAAAATGGACCATTGAACATCATCGAACACCTACGAGTTGATTATTGGCACTCCTACATCCACCTACCAACCCTCCCATCATAGCAGCTAGCGGGGCCTAGGGAAAGCTCCTTCCACCTTTTTCAGATTCATGAAACAACTCATGAAAACTCCTCTCAGAAGTCGAAGTTGTTTTCGGGTTACGCCTCTCTCTATTCTGACCTCTTCCGACCCTTCCGACGCGACCCGTCTGGGACTGCCAGTCCGGACTGCCGAGAAACGGCCAGGGGTGGTGCCAGGGGAGTCAATGGGGCGGCATATATGGCAGTCCCATTAGTCGTGTATGGGAGAAGTCTCGGGTCCTCTCCGCGTCGTCTCCGGCTCGTCTCGGGGCCGTCTCATTCCCAGGGCCGCCGTGCCACGTGAGCCACTTGGGCCGCTCCTGCAAGAAAACAGCTTCCAACAGCTCGACCGTGAGTTCCAGGATGAGGAAACTGAAAAGAAAAGGCTCTCTGATTGATGTACACTCCCTGGAAGACCACATGGTTACATGGATGGCATGGCCGCATGGCCCCGAGTTCGACCATGAAAATCCACGACAAACAGGTGGTCAACTCCACTTCCATGTGAGTTCCAGGGAGAGTATGTCTACAGTGATGATCAGTGATGTATGCCTAGGGCGGGCTCAGTGATGTGTGTAAAGCACGGACACCCTCTACAAAGATCTTTTGACATCTGTTGAAACTGGGTGACTCCAAAGCAAGTCCCACTCTCTTGGGACTGCCACATGTATCCAAACGTCGTATGTTCAGTCCCAGCTTGGTCACGATCAGCTTTCCGCCAGTTCGATCTACTGGTCACCGTCCCTGTGCCGGAACCCCCTATGGAAGACCTCCGGTCACCGTTCCGGACGTCGGTTCGGTCGCTTCGCCCCGGTCGCGCCGCCTTCAGGAGTCCCAGCTGGCTGAGGCGCCGCACGCGCGCCACCACCTCGCACCGCACGCGATGCGGAGCGCAGCAGCGAACGGCGCGTGGCGTGGCGGAAGCGAAGGACGTGGATGGCACCAGGTGCTTTCCGGCAAGTCCGTGCGAACACTTGGGTCTTTGGAGAGATCCACCTAAACGGAAGTCCTGGATCAGGGTCCTGGTTCATGCTTTGACGTGCTTTACACGTGGTCACCGAGAGCTGAGCTAGTGACCGGTGGGTGACAGAAAAGGCTTTGGGGCACGCTCCGGGTGAACCCATCAAAGACGAAGCACCGGCGCACCCGCGTTGGCCGCTCCGCTGCCAGCCATTCAAGATGACCTGGCGACCTGGGATGCCCCACATCAAGCCTGGCGACCCGTCGAAAGTTGCTGCCTTGGTGCGACCGGGATTTCACAGGACGGTTTCACACTTGTTGTATCTGTTTTTTACTTTGTTTGATGGTCGACGCCAAGGATTCCAACCCGCAGCCAAGCACGACACGAGTTTAAAGTGAAAACCCTTGACGTTCAATCCGAATCGCCAAAAACCCAGAGAAGTCAAGAAACCCTTCTATCTATCTATCTATCTATCTATCTATCTATCTATCTATCTATCTACTCGTAGAGATACTGCTGCCGACTTGGCTTTCCAGCTGATTCTGATGTGAAACAGTGACAATATATGAAAATATGGTCCACCTGAAGGATATTTCCCAGTTTTTGTGGGACTTGGCCGCTCACCGCTGAAGATGGAGGAACATGTTCTGCAAATGTTCTGCAATTGGAGAGTGCTGAGGACTGGGTGAAGATACAAAGCATTGGAGGAACTTCGGATTTTTACAAACATCCCCCGCCCTCGATGAAAATGACCAAACCTTCGACATTCTGACACCTCTCAAGCCGTTTATCTTAGATTGTCTCACGGCGGCTTCAGTTGGTGGCAAGTGACTAGCGAACACATCAAAAATGGTGCAATGATCTATAGTCTTCGAGGAGGCCTCCAAAAACTGGAACAACATCTCGTACATTTGAGCTATCTCCACCTATCCCATCAATCTTTGAGCTATCACTGTATCCTGTGCTACACCTCTCCTCCACGGGAATGTTGCAAATGCTCGGCGAACCACACAAAACCCGAGCTCGCAGCCGTTCGGGTGAGCGGCACCTTTTGCCATGGCGTTACTGCTTAGCCCATGTCGTCGGTGAGGGCTTGCTGTCTCCAGTGAAGAACTCTCACATTCGTGGAGATGAATTAAAAAGTACAAGCAGTGAGTAGATAGATTGTAAATGCAATGTGTGCAACTCATCTCTTGTCTATCTGTGTCAGGAAAACTCTGAGTGAGGTTGAGTGAGGTACCAGCTTGCTAGGCTAGGCAAGCTAGGGCCTTGAGGGCCAGTTCCAAGTTGCTGCATGTTTGGTCTGAGCCGAAATTCTCCGTCATCACAGGCCAGCATTCCAATTCAGCTGAACAGCCCAAGAAACGATGCTGCAAAGTAGGAAGTCCATCGCGGAAATCCACAACCAAACAAGGGAGTCGACTGATACGACCCCTACTCAAGCAGCTGGGATTTCCAAGACCCTTCAGCTTGGTGGAAGGACCCACGCGATTTCGACCCCCGCACTGGACCCGCCCGACCCCCGCACCAGGGCGACGCGGAGATTCCGCGGAGATCAAACCTAGATCCTCTGCCGCGGCATCATCGCCTTCCAAAGTCTGAATTCGACCGGACTCCAACCATTTGGAATGGGACGTCGTCTTCCGACCGATGGACGCCGGGTGTTTGGGGGGGGGGTGGTCTCCCGATTCTGGCTAGGCTGCTAGTCTTTAGTCTTCAGACGTCGGAAGGGTAAGTTCGTGTTGCCCTGAAGGGTTGAGGGACCACCTTGAGATGCTTTGCTTGCAAACTCGTGTAAGTCCACGCTCGTGCGCGGTGCCACATTTCTTGCAAGAAAGGCGCCTTGTCGTTTGTACTTGTGGAGCGTCTTTGGCCAAAATTACCCGAAGTTGTCTTGCGCGGGCGTCTGTAAATGACAGGAAACAGCAGAAGTGACTTTAAGCATCTTAAAGACCTGAACAAAAGACTTGAACGAAAAGCAGCTCTAAGGTGCGTCCTGGTTTCATTGCCAATGGAAGTGGGATACAAGGGGTTTGACTCATTCTCGAATGGATGTTTTTTCAACACATCTAGAATCACATACGGCAAGCGCACCATTTTGTGCTATGCTTCGCTATATCCAAGGTCTTTGTGTGGATGTGCGGGCTCACCCTCACATCCAGTCATTCGGCTCCCCACGGAAGCTTTCCAGCTCGATTGGGCGCTCGAAGAATTCACGCAGTTGTGCATGCTGCATGAACATAAGGATGTTATCGATGGAATCCAAAAGCAATGCCTCCCAGCAGCGGACCACCAGTTCTGGAAATCGCTCTTGAAAGACAGGCCTTTGTTGCAATTTCCGTCTGATTTCTGGGTTCATGCTCGAATCGTTCAAATGAATACATTTGTTCCGAATGAATTTGAGCAGGCCGAAGGGACTCTTCTTGAGACGGTCATCCGTGGCATGCGGGTCAACCTGTTCTAAGTCTGCGACCTTCACAAACCATGAGTCCCCACCAATGGACTCTTTCAGAGCTTGCTTCAAAGTGCGGAAGGAGGTCAAATCGGCTCCCAGAAGTGCCGAGTTCTGCTCACTGCTGAGGGGATAGTTGCCCAAGGTCACCAAGAAGCGCAAGCCATTGCGGGCAGACCAGAAAAATGGATGAGTCAAGACCACGCGATGGGGTGTCATCCCTTTCGGGAGGCCCTTGTTGAAGGCCCGCTTGCTCGGCTCACGTTCCAGCAGTGCCTTCATCAAATGCTGAAAAGCGAAGGAGTGATAGCTTGGCCATTGCTCAGGAACTTGATTCTTCAAGAAACTCATCTGGCTCTGAAAATCTCGAGGAAGACCTTTGCCACCAGGCTGAGCAGACATCATGCAGAAGAGGACCATGCCCAGTGAATAGAGATCGCTCGTCCGGTGCGCTTTGCTGACGCTGCTACCTTCCTGTAAGGCTTCAGGGGAAGCAAACGCCTCTGGTCCCCCAGAGGAGAGTGTTGCTGCATCCCTGGTCTTCTCTAGAATCTTTGAGATACCAAAGTCCCCGAGCCTAATGGCACCCAAATGGTCAATCATGATATTGTCAGGCTTCACGTCACGGTGAACCAAGTCCTTGATTGCTCCGTAGTTCAGCCTTGACAATGTGTAGAGCATGCTGGCACCTACATACCGAATGACTTGCAAGTGGGCTGCTTTGCCAACCCATTCCTTCTCCCTCCATCTTGCCATCGCATCAGCCAGGGAACCTTCCATCAGCTCCAGAACAACCACTTTCTTGAACATTGGCCGGCCCATGTTGTCAACCATCTCTTGCTGAAAGGAGCTAATGTACTGCACAATGCCTGGCATTGCTGAATGCTCTTTCATACTTGAACGCTCGACATTGAAGTGTTTTTCTCCAAACTCCTGTTCTCGGAACACCTTTACAGCCACCTCACGACCATCAGACGGCACAATGCCCAGAAAGACTTCGGCTGCTGCTCCTTTCCCAATCTTTAGGGTATGGTGGAAGTAGACGTGTCCATCTCTTAGGAAAGAGCTATTCATGGACCCACTTGCCAGCCATTGCCGGTAGTCATCCTTGAAGCGGCGCGATTGGCCATCATTCCAAGCCTCCACCAAAGCGTCCTTCACTCTGTCGTCCAAGTCAATGTCCTTCTTGCTCTTCCTTTGTGCCTGGCAAGGGCATCGAGGGCATCAATGTCTTATGAGTCTTTGAGAATGTCGTAAACGATGATCGCCAAATGAACGTATTCTGCCATGGACATATATAGTTTCTATGGGTGTGTATGTGTATAAGGAGATCCAAGTGGACGGGTCTATCTTCGGAACCCTCCACCCCCGGTCGGAACCGCCGGCGGTTCGGTCAGCGCCGTATCGGCGCCGAACCGCGAGACGGACGAAGCGGCCTGCCAGAGGCGGGACGGAGGGATCTCGAGCAAGTCCAAATACGTCAGAGACAGGTCCTGCCAAGCGAAATGTCCAACAAAAACACGAAGAAAATCACCTGACTTTCCTGTGACAATCGGGCACATCACCACATAAGGTATTAGATTCCAACTGGGAAGACCAACCCCAACAGCCACTGCCTGCTTCTCCCATTGAAAGTCAATGATGGCAGGAACTGCTAAGATTGGCTTTGGCACCAGTTTCCACAAAAAAAAATGTCAGGAAGGGAGCTTGCCGAACTGACTCTCAGCATGGTTCCACAGGCACAATTAACCCAGGTTCTCGGCATGGGCCCGACCAGTCTGACTACCAAGAATAAGATCCCAAAGATTGTCCCATTCTGCCCAAATCTAGAACCTTCCTGTCGACCCTCCATCTGGCACAACAAAATCTGATTCTCTGATCAAAAGACCTCCCAAAAGGCTGAGACGCTCCTTGAAAGAATCATGGTTACGCGCATACAACACCACCTGTTTGGTCTTCGAATTTCATGGTCATCCGTTCGGTGCCATCAAAAGCTCTCGAGATGGACCCCGCCGTAGGGTCCCTTTTTGACCATCCAGTGGTTGGCGTCTGGGTGGCCATCTGCGGGGGTGGAGATGGCCCCAAATCGGGACGGGTCAGGTTGGAAGCCCGAAGAGAGAGTTGGGTTCTGCACCACTTCTGGTGGAAGCGACAGAGTCTCTACAGCGGAGTCGACAGGCATGTTCCACATCCATTCAGCAAAAAACAAAATTGTAATTACACCCCTTTTCACAAATCATGGTGACGTAGATGGCATGGCCCGAAATTGGCCCCGAAGACCATTCTCCGATCTGTTTCCGAATACCAAACCAGGTGTGTTGACTCCACAAAACGGTTCCAGGGAGTGTTCTGCTCTGAAGACCCCCCGATCCTCCTCATCGTCGTGAGGAGTAGTCGGTGGTGGACCTTCCGAGGCGACCTGCGCGGTCCATCCGGCGCACGGCAAAGCGCGCCCTTCTCACGGGTTGCATCTGCTTTCTTTCTACCAGCATCATAAGGAAGCTCGATGCAACCTGATATCGATGTTACTATATTGAGTGATGCAAGTCCGCTTGACACTCTTGTTGGGTTGGAGGCTATCGCTAGTAGGTTTGAGGCCATTCCAATTAGCTTGGAGGCCATTGCTATTAGCTTGGAGGCCCTTCCCATACATCTCTTCTCGAACACGAAAACACCTGGCCTCAACCTGATCGAGGCCCGGATCCAACTCCTGCATGCGTTCGTTCGGCACGGCCTGCGGACCGATGCGACGGGCCCCAGACCGTCCGCCTCCGCTGGAGAGGGAGGGGAGGGTCCCGCCCAGGACAGGTTGGGGCAGTACTGATGCAACAGTCTGGTGCTGAAACCATGTCAACCTTCCATGTCGGCACAACCATGTCATGTATCTGCTTCTCTGGTCAAAAGACGTCCCAAAAACGGCTGAGACACATCCTGAAAGAATCATGGTTACGTGCATACAACACCACCTGTTTGGTAATTCGGAGAAGGAGCCAGCCTTGCAGCCGTATGCTTTATTTTTGACACTTCATGGTGCGTGTGGACCACACGAACAGAAACAAGTCTGTTGCATTGTAGAATGAGTATGGCAAACTGGAAGCGGCTTTGCCAATCAGCAGCTGGACTGGCACCGACTTTCTGGTTTTCGGGTCGCCCGCCCCACCAAAGCCACCCTGCCTCGTACGCAAAGATGGCATCCGCGTAGGGCGGAGTGGGTTTTTCCGCTGCCGTTGCATGAGTTGGCCGTGCTTGTCGCTTCCAGCGTCTCGAAATGGCCAACAAGGGCTCTGGAGGCACCTGACCCTGCGGATCTGGTGGATCTGGTGGAGCCTGTGGAGCCTGTGGAGCCTGTAGATCTTGGGCACCTAGGGTGGAAGCGGGCACCTGGCTTTGACCCCAAGCGTTTGGTGCGGTTTCAAGCGATGCTTTTTTCACTATCTTATGACGAGTTCGCAAGAGCTTTGACACCTTCTCTTGGAAGTATGCTGGTGGGCTCTGGGGAGCACCTTTGCAGCCTTTCGCAAGCAGCCAAGCCCAACCCTCCGAGGTGATGTGAACGCCATGAGGGCAATCCTTCTTGTTGCACCAGTCGTGCGTCTGTGTACACATACGGCTGTCAGACTTCCGGGAGGTATTGGCAATGTACCTTTCTTCGATCGCAAAGGAGACTTCAAGTCCGGTTTCACGATTGGTGCAAGACAATGTGCGGCTGTTGGTGCTGTCCGGATAAGCAGGATCTTCGAACTCCGGTGGTACAGTCAGCTCCTTCTGCTTGTGCGCATACATACAAGCCTTCCCGTATTTGCAAATGCCGTCGTTTGGACCGCACATGCATCTGTAGAGCTTGAACTGCTCTCGCAATCTGCTGGCAGAGACGTGCAAGAAAAGGCAATTTTGCCAGTGAGGGCACTTCTCATCTTTCAAGCTGAAGTGGTAGCACAAGTTGGCACTCACAGCTCCCCAGCTTTCGTTTGGAAGATCCTTCTGGGACAGCTTCCCTTGCTTGATGAATTGACTAGTCACTTTTTCAAACTTTTCGGGTTCACACACCATCATGTGAACTGCCTTGGTGGCCTTAGTTGGGTATGTCTCTTCAAACGGAATTTCAAAGCGTGGAGATTCGCCATGGCCAGATCCCC